GAGTGGCCCATGGTGGTGGTGGGGTTATGGTATGGGCAGGTGTATGTTATGGACGACGAACACAGGCCACTGGATTCACAACATAACCCTAACCCTAACCCTCACACCAGATACTGACTGGTTTTCGGAGCCCCCCAGACCCCCCCAATAAAGCAAAAATGCACGTTTCAGAGTGGCCTTTTATTGTGGCCAGCGCCTGTGAGGTGGGATGGATTATCTCGACAGAGGAGAAGTGCTCACTATCACAGATTTTTTCAGATTTGTGAACAATATTTGAGAGAAATGGTTATTTTGTGTATGTAGAAAATGTTTTAGATCTTTGAGTTCATCTCATGAAAAATGGGAGCAAAAACAAAAGTGTTGCATTTATATTTTTGTTCAGTGTATATACTCTAAAACCTTTTTTTAAAGTAAGAACAAGACCACCTCTGTTCCTAGTGGGACATACTTCCATTAACGCTCATTCAAACTCTTTCAGGAAGTCCGGGTTTCCGTCTGTGGTACATTGGTGTGTTTTTCTCACAGGCGGGAAGTAACAAGTGAGAAGTGCAGACCAAACAAAGCACTGCCGAGTTACATAAGCAGCTAAATCCATAAAGCTACTCTGACATGAGAAAGCTTTCCCAAGATCCTTTGCAGATTCAAGAAACCTCAGAAAACCTTTTAAAAACTGAAGCACAGAGGCATTACAAAGCTACAAACTATTCAAGCTCGTGAGTATGATCCATATTAGAAGTGTTTGGCTCCAACAATAACACTTTAAAAGATGAAAAATATAAAAATAGGATAGTTATAGTCCTGTGATCACTGATAGAAAAAACATGTTTCTAATATACTGAAAGATAAACTTGAGAAATGATTTATGCGTGTGGTTATTTGATGTTTTGGAGCCAAACTCTTCTTTAGTTACATCCAACATAAAAGGCCTTCTGGTAGGTGATTGGTTTATTTTGGTTGTACCACAGACTTTTGTGTGCAACTGACTCGTAGTCAAATGTGATGCAAATAAAGACGATAAATTCAGATAAAGTGCACAAGTGCTCATTCAAAAACCACACACACACACACACACACACACACACACACACACACACACACACACACACACACACACACACACACACACACACACACACACACACACACACACACAGAGTTCTGACAATGACCCGCTGTTATGTAAGCCGGATAGGCTGCCAGACTAAATTCATACATTCAAAAATCTATTAAGAGAATTGAATAATGATCACAAACTACAGGGAAATGATGAGTGTAGTCACACAAAGTAATCAACATTTATTTTCAATAATCAATTGGCCGTTTCGATATCTCTGTTCTGTTTCGAGCTTCTATAATGTGAGGATTTGGTGTTTTTCTTCATCTAATATCAAATGAAACCGATTATTTGTGGGATTTTGGACTGTTGGTCAAAGAATTCTAACAATTTGAATAGCTCTGGAAAATGATAATAGGTATTTGTTAATATTTGCAACGACCCGCACAATGTGAAACATTTAAATACGGTATTAAACTGTGATTTAAAAAAAAAAATTTGGTAATCAATTAAGGTGTATCTCATCTTATCAGGAAAGTTAAGTATGGCCATTTAATGGGCTGACAGCGGGTGATTCTTAGACGAATATTGGCCTTTTGCAATCTTTTTGGGCCAAAATGAGTTGTAACGGCTAACATCTCATAGACATCTAAAAAGTGCATTTTATTAAATCCGAAATAAAATCTGACTCTAATAATGTAATGGTGTTTTGATAAAAAACTTGGATAAGGATAATCTATCCCTTTTTTTCATCAAGTTTTCATCAAGAACATTTAGCCAAAAGCAGTTATGTATTTAGCAAAGAATCGTAGAAAACACGTTGGATTTTGCTTTTTTTAAATGAAGATTATATATAGTTGGTCCTTAGAGGGATGTTTATGCAATTATACATTTCTGTTTGGTATACATTTCAGTATAAAACAGAAGAACAGTCCCGTTGAATGTAGTGGTCTGTCCTCAACTGTTCAAAAATGTTTAGAGCTCAGAAAGGTCCAACACTTTAATAGATTTGAAAAGATCAAATGGCTTCACTGCCTCGCCTCATTATTGTCAGAACTCAGTCATTTATTTCTGTCATTCAAACTCATATTCCTCTTCCTCTGTGCAGGCAAAGTGAGATTCTAGTGCAGCTTAATCCTCTGAAGTAAACTCTTAACTTTCACCAGTGTAACAGAAACCCACCGCCCTTTCAAACCTGTCACACAAGGCTCGGCTCATGCAGACTCATGCACGCAGCAAATGATACAATTTCAACGTCATCTGAATATAAATAGAGAAAGAAAAGAAGAAAAGAAAGCCACAAAAGTACAAAGTCCACATGAATTCACACACTGTGAGAAACACCCTCTTCATCCTCATTAAACATCTGTTTCCCTCTGCTGTGCTCGGTGACACTTCACCTTTTTATAATTGTATAATTTGCGATATTTCTGGAAATGTGTACCTTATTATTCTTTTTTCTTTTGCTTAAGTAGCCAAGGCATTTTGCACTCAGGAGTAAACATAAATCATCTTATAAATCTCAGAGGTAGAACCCTGACAATTGACAGGTAGATAGATAAGACAGACAACAGTAAACAAACCCTGTCTGCGTTTAAGACGTCGTCAGTGAGGCGCAGAAATAAAAACAGAAATGACACACTGGAGAAATGGAAAGGTTTAATTCAATGTATTAGGTCAACAGGTTTCACATAACTGTATTAGGTTAGTTGAAAATAATAATATTAAGTTCAAATAAAATATTAGGTTCAACTTCATATTATTGCTTTCAACTAAGCTAATACAGTTATGTGAAATCTGTTGACATATACATTTAAATAAAGTCAACGTTTCAGTTTCTTCAGTGCAAAAGAAAGAAAAAGTCTTGAAGGAAAGTGGAGAAGAGATTGGTTCCTTTTTCTTTTCTACAATCTCGGGAGCTGTCCTCTCAGACGTAGAGGATGACGGTGCTGTCCGCGGGACAGTGAAGGCCTTCGGGGGGGGTCAGCGCCCTGCAGGAAGGCGGCTGCTGACCGGCCGCCAGGTGACAGCTTTTAGGGTGGGGGGAGTCACAGTCGTCCGACGTCAGCTCTGCAATGTCGTCTGACTGAGTGTCCGACATCTCCAGGTCGCTGCGGATGCTCTCGGGCTGGGCCAGCGTCACGTCTCTGAGCCCCTCCCTCTCGGACAGGCCCAGCACGGAGCCAGACAAAGCCCCGCCCCTCCTGGAGCTACAGTCCTGAGGCTCCTCCACGCTGGAGGCGGTCGCCATGGCAGCAGAGCCCGGGGGCTGGGTCAGGTCCTCCTCACTGGTCAGGCAGAGATGGCTGGGTTTGGTCTCGATGTCCACCTGGATCTCCAGGTTGGTGCACTCCCTGCAGAGAGAGGGGTTTAAAGTCAGCCCCAGAGTGCAAACAGAGACATCTATGGACGCACAGGTGAGCAAGTCAACTGGAAGCCATTTGAATCCAATGCATTCTTTTGGGAATGTATGTAAAGGATGAATAATGCTAGTCAACCGTAGTTTGACCTTGAAAAGAAGTACCCATGAATATTGAAAGATGGAAATGAGAATATTGTGTACCATGTGCAGACCTACAGCCATTGTCATTATCTTTGGACATATGCATCACTGTAGCTGTTTATTTTATACATCTTTTTTATTTTAGTATATAGATGTGTGAACATTTTTTTTAAAACATGGTCTACTGAAAAGGAGCTGTGACATATTTTAAATTTGATGGCCTTTTCTCCAGCTTGACAGCCTTGAATCACCATTTGAAATACTTTGAAATTGTCTACAATTCAAAAAACTGTTTTATCGACAAGAGGAGGAACTAATATGTATTTTATTGGCAGCGGCTTGTACAACAATATGGCATCCTATATGGTTGCTGAGGAGACAGCGGGGTCACCTGTCAGGCAGGGTGTAGGAGGAGATGATGGAGCCGGCCATCCCTCGGGTGCTGGCGCAGTCGCTCCCCGCCCCCAGGCTTCCCGTCTCCCTCTGGGCCGAGTCCCCCGCCTGCCCCTCTAGCCTGCAGCACGACACACAGTCAGTCACACTGTTATTGTAATTAATACTCAATCTGTTCAACTATTATCTAATATTTGCACTGCACACAGAAGTGAGAAATAGTGGATGGCTGACATATTTGGGAGTTTGTTTCTTTTAAATGTGGAATATTGTTGTTTTAAGGCATTGTGTAGGCTACGATTATATGTATAGTTGTGTAATGTAATCTCTGTTGATTTATTTAAATGTGATGGAATAGTGTGTGAAATAGCAGGCAAAATGAAAATGTTTTAACATATCTTAGCTAATAATTAGGGCCGGGACTTTAACGCGTTAATTAAGATTAATTAATTACACAAAAATTAACGCATTTTAATCGCACTTATTTTTGCACCGCGGAACGTCTCTCACTGGATGAGTTTCACGGGTACCGATTATACTGGAGCATCAACTAACGTTCATGACTTCAAACAACAACAAACCGCAGTGAACAATAGTCAAACGTGAACGAAGAAGCTGATGAGACCGCTTTGGTTGGCCCCGTGGATGGAAGCATCGATAAGAGCACGGTTGTTTGCAAATTATGCAAAAAGGAATTTGCATATCACCGCAGCATATCAAGCCTCAAGTATCACCTCAATGCAAAACATATAGCAGCTAGCGTGGAAGCTAGCGTGGACGTTAGCCCGACTCGGAGTACAAGGACCCACACCCAATTCGCGTTGATCAAACAGTGGCCTATGCAACAGAGAGATTTTATTTTTCATCAGGATATTGGAAGAATAGGAGGGATTGAGGTCAATCACTGGCACTTTTTTATTTTATTTTAAATGGTACACTTTATGTTGAACTATTTATTATGTTGTTGGTGCTAAAATAAAATAAAAAAGTGCCAGTGATTGACCTCAATCCCTCCTATTCTTCCAATANCAATTCAAACGGGATCGAAAGATAAGTTTTCTCTCCATTGACTTCAATGCATAATTTTTCTGAAATAAGGTCCCATGGACCGGAAGCAGATGGGCGTGACTTCGCCACTCTATAGCTGTTGTGGAGGATATCATGAAGCCTCGTTCCGATATAAAAACCTAGAGGGTAGTTATTATCAGTGTTGGGTGTAACGTGTTACAAAAGTAACGGAGTTACAGTAATATATTACTTTTTGCTGTAACGAAGTAATGTAACGCATTACTAATGAAATGTGGGTAATATATTACCCGTTACAATGCTCAGTAACGCAGTTCCAACACATTTTAACCCAAAATTAAATGGTGTTTTGTTTTTTAAGAATGTACTAACATAGCGAGACATTCCGACAACAGAGACAAATTGTGCGGGTAGATTAGTAAACCTGGTGTGTTTACCCTATAGGCTTCGCGTCGGGATCTTCGGGGCAGTTGAATGTTATGCACCCTCTATTAAAAAAAGAGAACGGAGCGAAAAATACAAACAACAAATTGTGTCAGGTGCGCGTGACCTGCACCGCTGCGCGTCATCATTTCCAAAGTGCTTCCACAGCAGTGACACACATCTGTGGATAATCATTTATACGCAAATGGTTAAAGCAACCATCACTAAACGCCAGCAACACTGCATCTACTGCAGACAGTAGCAACAGGTCAGATGGGGACATCACGTTACCCTCCGTTGTGGACNTACAGTCACCATTCACTTTGACAGTGAGAGGGAGGGGCATGATCGGGTTTTGTCCCACATGGCTCTAAACAGCTCAATATGCAAGCACTGTAGACACTAATTAGAAGAACACAGACTAAAACAGCAATGTAAAGACGAATCAGATGATTAAACATTATCTTAAAATATATTTTATATTTTTCTTTTACATTTTTTTGTAATCATTATTTGTAATACTTTCTGCTGACACTAGGTGGGGCTGTGCCCCTAATGACCCGTGACTACCTAGCTAGTAGCAAGCACGTTAGTTAGCATTACAGCCGGCTTAGCCTTGTCATTTTTATTAGCCTTAACATGAAGTAACATTAAGTAACCCAAAATGTTAAACAGTAGAGTAGTCAAATACAGCGCCGTATAGACTGACGAATGTCAGTGGCGAAGTCACGCCCATCTACTTCCGGTCCATGGGACCTTATTTCGGAAAAATTATGCATTGAAGTCAATGGAGAGAAAACTTATCTTTCGATCCCGTTTGAATTGTGCCATGAATTACACGTTTGTCAATCTTAAAAAATTATTTCCATATCAAAAAATATAAGACTATGAAAAATACGCAACTAGAAAGACTACAAATCTCAGAGTAAGTGATGTCATAACTGATGTCACAATTGTTTTCCTCCACTAAATAAGAGATAGCTAATATAAGATCACTTTAACAAGATGCCTGTGTGCTTAGTACCAGGTTGTTATCATACCAGCAATGGGTCTTGTTCATTCTTTCACTTCCCATCGGATGAAAGGACCAGGAGTGGCTGGATCAAGTTAGCTACCTAGCTAGTAGTAAGCACGTTAGTTAGCATTACGGCCTTGTCATTTGTATTAGCCTTAACATTAAGTAACATAAAGTAACCCAAAATGTTAAACAGTAAGAGTAGTAGTCATATTTCGTGAACCCTTTGAAGAGTACTGTCACACCGGTGTGATCATTCTATAATACACCATTTAATCCAGGGGGAGAAATGCTAACGCTAACGCTACATTAGCATCAGCGATCTTTTCTACTTCATGCCATCTGCACAAATGGTTGACACTAAACATTAAAAAGATCAAGCAGTTCAGAGAGAATCAAAGGAAGGCAGGCAGGCAGGCAGCTTTGCATGACATTCTTCTGGACACGTTTCATTGTGGTGATAGTGAGGGTAGTCAATCCCTTGTTTGGCAAGACAGTAGTGACAGCCATCTTGGTGACATGTGTTGTTGTGCGAGACCAGAGATGTAGTTCATTGAGCGTTTCACACAAAAAAATGTGTTACTTCACAGTTTTACGACACATTTTATATTTTTTACTTGCAAAATTATCTTTTAAATTGACAACATCATATGTGTAATTTGTGGCACAATTCAAACGGGATCGAAAGATAATCTTTCTCTCTCCATTGACTTCAATACATAATTTTTCTGAAATAAGGTACCCATGGAGGTCCACCGGACTTCGCCATTGAGTGAGCGCAAACTTCCATGAACATGGATTCTATATAAACGTCAGACACAAAACATGATATACCTCAGGTGGCACCAATCTGTAGCGCGCCTTATGTTCTGTAGGTTCTCCAAAAAATAGACATTTTAGGGTCTATAATTGGGTTGCACCGCCACACTATTGGGGTGTTCGGGGTCTGGGAAGGAGCCCCCTGCAGCATTGTTGGGGGACTCGGGGCTCAAATTTTGTGGATCGAGTGTGCGGGACCACACAAGAGCGAAGGTCACCTTTTGCTTTAGAGAGCACACGCGCGAGAGGCACCTGCCTCCCCCTCAATCAAACGAGCTGGATAAGGTCATCAATAAATCTGTAAGTTCTATTGGATCGTGGACCTGCAGTATCACCAGGTATTGCCTTGAGCGGTCTGGAGGAAAAATAGGGACCCAAATGCAGATTGAGGGAGGGAAGCAGGTTTCAAAAAGGAAACAAAACCGGCTGCGACCAACTCTATGCCTACCTGTAGAGGGCTTTGTGCTAATGTTTCACATTGTGCCTGGACAGTTTATATTATTACATCTACTTAAGTCATTCGAAATACGCGAGCACATATACTAAAGTATTAATCCTATAAGCAACCGCGGAGTACTGCGGATGCATAAAAAGGGATAGACATTCTGTTTTGAATTTTGGCCAATAACGAGAAAAAGGTGACCTAGCGTTGATTCGACATGACGGAGAACATGGAACGACAATATGATATAGGGCAAGATGATATCTAGATCGTTATTACATCTTTAGGAAAGAGGACATAGTACTCTTAAATCCATACTACAGCGGAGGGGTAATCTACACTTATACGTCTGGAAGCGGATAACCGAAAGACACAAAAGAGAGGCAGGGATGTTCGTGTAGGTTAAAAGAACTACACAATGCATATAATCAGCGTCCGCGAGTGCAACTAGTGAACAACGACATAGATGCTGAACAATTAGTGACCTGCTATACACCCATTTGGTATTATTATAATAGGCATCCGGCACAGGAGGAATCGAGTATAAACAAGGGAGCAAAAGATTTGTTATTCTCGCCAATTAACATAAGAACACAGCCGCAAAAAACTCCAAGAACCCATTGCCGCTCAGATAACGTATATATCTGACCACAAAAACTGTTCTTGGTTCCTTCCCACTTCAAACACTACGGCGAAAGTGGCAATATATTAATGAGGTGAAATTAATCACATTTTTACTTAAATATTTGGGTGTGTGTGTTTTGGGGCCATAATTACAATTTCAAACAGGGGAATTGTTATGGGTTTATGATTCATAATTAAGTTAGTTATGATGTAGGGTTTAAACACCGATAATGTAGTTATGGTTCGAGTATTGGGCTTCACTATGATGTAAAAATAAAGTAGTCCACATATTTGGATTGGTCGAGAGTTTGGCATCAGAATCATAANCTCTCTCTCCCTCTCCTCCGGTACAGCTCCGTAAGACGTAGTGTGGAGTTGCGTTAGGTAACGCGAGATACAGCTGATACTTGCGCATTAGTTTCTGTTATGGATCAGTATCAACAGTCCTGCCAGTAACGTTACTATATTATCAATGCTACTTTAGTTATAGCCTGATATATGATAGCTAGCTTTACAATGTTGTGATGTGACCGACGTTAGCCTCACCAAGACAGCTGCCCTGTTCTCCACTGGTTCTCCTCACACCAAAGCTCCATTTCTCTCCGATGGCCGTTATTTCTTGTAATCCTTGGCTCCTGGTCTCTTGTACGCCTAGCAGGCTCATAATTATACGGTTGTGGTCCGTCATATGCATTCGAATATACATGTTCAACCTCTTCTGTGTCAAAACTAGCATTGTGATCCATATTTATTCATACGTTAGACCGGCCGTTAGACGCGGGAGGTCACGTGCCGAGGCTTTTTTATGCGGAAGTGAAAATGTCTTACTTAAACAACGCCAGATGTCACTGTAGTGTATATTTCGGTATATTATTTTGAAAATCTAGTGTATTCATCATTTTCCTACACATTTATTCACTGGTGTCTCTAACCTGCAAGTTGTTCTTTAAGGTCAGAATGGGGAACACAGGCAGGCAGGATACGGCACTCTATGAATGGGGTTTAATGAGAGATCCGGGACAGGTGGCACAAGTCAAACGGGATCGAAAGATAATATTTCTCTCTCCATTGACTTCAAAACATCATTTTTTCGAAATAAGATCCCATGGAGGTCAACCGGAAGGGGAGGGACTTCGCCACTCTATAAAGGCGAGAAGCATGTTGCAGTTTTCCAAAACACTGTCAGAACACTCAATTGAAATCTGAGAAGGTGACACGCTACAAATGTAAGCAGCTGCTTATTTTCACATACAGTATTTCATAACTCAATGACATGGAGTGTTCGTTGAGCACACATGAAATGTTACAAAGCGACCCCATGCCTCTTTCCAGTGTGACACGATATGTCCTTGCAGGGAAAGTCCCTAATTTCTTCCCCTCCACGTGGTCAGAGGTCAGAGGTCGGCAGTGGGGGTTCAGTGTCTTGCTGAAGATCCTATAAACACGCAGGGATGTTTGTCGTTGCAGCTGCTTGAGCAATTAGTTCACCATACATCACTTTCTTCTTACTGGTTTTACGATTGCTTCTATTATGTTGAGCAACATTTTTAAGATTAAACAACAGCTTATGTTCAACTGTATTAGTTAATACTTTGCCTTTTAACAAGAATAATCTTAGCTATCCTGAGTACAATTGCAAAGGATAAACCTGTGGAGTCCTTGAGTGAGAACAGGAAGGGGGAGGTGATCTCACAACAGTCCCTCGTTGTAAGTCCTCCAACAAGGTGGCGTGTCAAATTTGAAGTCGTGCCACGGACCCTGAATAATCAGAGCACGCCAGGTTCATGGTCAGTGATGAAACACAACATGAGTTTTATTCAAGAGTAACACAAAGCCTTTTAGTTAGACACAGAGGAGACTGAGTGCATTCTTGTGACCCATTTTGCATAATTAAATAACCCTTAATGATATGTTTTACTTACATAACGATAAAGATGCTATTACTTGTGTGCTGCAGATCATTTGCTCTGCTACAGATTGTAGAAAGGGTCATTTTAGACCCAGGATATGACAGTAACGGTATTTTAATACATTTCTATGCTTTGTTTACAGGATATACAAATGTCAGGTTGGCAGGTCATGTTAACAGACGTCTGATATCTTTAATTAAGATTAGTTCTTAGTAATACCGCGTCTGTACCTCCCTTTACTCGTATATCACCATGTTCTGTGCTGATAGTTTGTCGCGCTCTGGTTTGAGTTTGCCATCATGGAAACGATTCTGTGAATGTGGCGCCTGCTGAATGAGCCGTCTGTCTCACATGCTCGATGGCCAATGACATCTTGGTACAGGTGACTCAGATGTTTCGACAAAGCCAGCGGCTGTGTACGCTCACATTACACTGAGAGTGATGTTTTCCTATTGCACACTTGAGGAAAAGAGCACATACTGATCTTTCTTCGTATTATGGTTCATTTTAAAACACAAACTGAAGTCATTTTAATATGTGCTTTTTAAATAACACATATACTGAGGGTCATTTTATCTACATCCTCCTCTTTCTGAAGCTGAACATTTGAGCTTGAGAGGGATTAGATTTTGTAAGCAAGATGCAGCCGTCATCAGGAGCAGGCAGATCAATAAATACTGATAAGATGAGCGGGTTCACAAACAAGGTTAGGGCAAACCAGGTTTGTTTACAGAGGGCACACCAGGTTTGTTTACATGGTGTGCACTGAAATCCAAGTTTTTGTCAAATCGTGTTTTGTCTTAAGCTCTGACTGCAGTGCGATGTTGTTTTAATGGATCGTTCCTCATTTGCCTTTTGAATTATAGTTTCAGTGTTTTCCATCAATTAGAGATGCTGATTCAGACCAAAGCTAATGTTCTTTGATGGGGATTTTCTGCCTGCTTTGTGAGAATAACTCAAAGACTTTTCAGCAAAAAGAAGCTAGCAGTTTTCTCATTGAACTTGATAGTGCTAAGAAACAAAGATTAGCTCTGTTAGGTCTTAGGTTTTATTTTTGTTATTTCAATGAAACAGCCTGAACTGCTGCCTCTGTGGATGTATGGCCCTTTGATATGGATATGCCAAGTATAACAGTCATTTGTATTCCTTCTGTCAAAATGAAAACAATAGAAATACTGCGTTTATATGAAGATGCTGTCCGACAACATAAATATGGTGAGATCCGATAACTCTGTGATGTCTCTGGTGAGCGTTGCAGTGCTATTACTGCTGCTCATGTATCATACATCCATAAATTGTAGCTGTCTTAGGTTAGCCAAACGGTATGTGCTACAGTGTGGAGCCCCTTTAATGTTTGACATAGATAAACCCCTTTGCATCACCTCAGTGTCGGGGGCATTGGGTAAATGATCTGACATGAGTTTTTTCAGCCATGGCATGGCTTAAGGGATGGCAACTTTGGTCCACATTGAAATATCTTAGCAATGGTTTAATTTCCATTGAAACGTGGCATAGTTATTCACTTTAGAATGAAACAAACGGTTAAAGCAAACACATGAGATGGTGTTTAAGGCGTTGTCTAAATAAAACATACCTACTGAACCTGTCAGTTGATTGATGATGGCCTTACTAAAACACTTGTGCACATGCAGGTTTTAGAGTCAAGAGTTAAGCTGGAGAATCAGAAATATGCAGCTTCATAAAAGCCAAAACTAAACAAGAGTTGTGAGGTATTTGGCTCTTTACGACCACTGGCATTTCTTAACAATAGGTTATAGCAATATATTTTGTAAATGCCTGGATGTGAGGATTTCAGGGTTATATGTAGCGCAGAACAAAATATAATGATTCTAAATTTGGGGTGCAACAACTAATCGACTTAATCGATTAAAATCGATTACCAAATTAGTTGGCAACTAATTCAGTCGTCGATTCGTTGGTGACGTCATCACATGTGTTCTACACCCCGTTAAGATCCTACGTTATCGCTCTTTTTTATCGGTAAAGGAGACATTTAAAACATATGTCATATGTATTACGGTATGTCCACACAGCAGTTTAAAAAAAATCTTCCAACGCTTCTCTGCCCATTGACTTTGAATGGGGGTGACGTCACTTTGCCTTGCTTTTCGCCGAACTGCATTGTGGGGAAGCAAAGCGAAGATTTCCAGGATTTTCAGGATTCAAAAGTTGAGCAATGTTCAACGTTTGAAGCTCAGCTGAAAGCGTCAGCCAATCAAATCCCGTTTATGCAAATCTGACAGTACAAGCGCTAGCCAATCAAATCGCGTGCAAGCTGGGAGAGACAGACCGCAGTTCATTTCCTCATATTCCAAACGAGAAATTACGGTAGCAAATCATCCGGTTCTTTACGACCAGTACTATTTACCGGGATACAAACCGGANTTCAATGGTATACTAAAATCCATGTGAAAAAAATTGCTTCTCACTGTTCTCAGGTCAAATATTTATATGTGATTAAAAATGCGATTAATTTCGATTAATTAATTACAAAGCCTGTAATTAATTAGATTAATTTTTTTAATCGAGTCCCGGCCCTACTAATAATAATACATTTTTATATGAAAGATTTTCTGCTGTATTAAAATATATATCTCAAATGTATTTTCTTACATACAGGCGAAACGTTTTGTATTTGAAGTAATACAAGAAAAAAAAAAAATATATATATATATACATCTTATATTGTATTTACATATTATATTATTTAATATTATTATTATAAATGTTTTATCGTAATAACTATGTTTTTTAAATTATTGAATTAATGTCAGTTTTGTGCATGTATGTGTTATTCCCGTGTCTGACTTCATGTTGGTTTAAATGTTCCCTGTTTTGACTAAACCTAAACCAGGCATGACCCCCCTCTGTTCCTCACCTGCTGTACTTTCCGCTGCGGGTTCCCAGGGTGCCGCCTGCCAGGGGGTAGAAGTGTGGTGTGTCCCCCAGACTCCCGGGGGCCACGGAGAGCCCCTCGCTGGGGGAGGTGGTGCTCATAACGCTGAGCGCCCCGTCCAGACTGCTGTCACCGAAGCTCGGGGACTTCAGGGCTCGCCACGCATCCGCCACTGCAGAACCATGCAGAAAATACTCTTTATAATGAAAGATCATGTGAAAAAGAACCTGCTCATTTAATGTGCGGGAAATGTTGGGTATCCTCACCTGTGATTGGACCATCGTCATCATCAAAGTCAATGCGTACTCCTCGCCCCTTCCCCCTGCTGACCCCGCAGCCCCCTCCTCTGCACAGAGATATGGGCACCACGCCGTACACGTAGGCCAGCATGATGGGAACACCAATACCTGAGGAGGGAGTTTCACAAGGATTTAGAACTTGTCTGAGATGGTGTACCTGCATGATTCCTTCAGTATTTTATTAACTTCACAAACTTGAGCTCAACATTGAACCTAATCAGCATCATTCCTCCTTTTCATCAACTGATGGATAATGTTAGATTTTTATCTTCTGGTGATTGCATTTAGGCTTTAACAATCAAAGACGTTTTTTTTTGTGTGAAGAATATCTCGTAAGAATTATAAAACGTTTGTTCACCGCAGAGATTATTTACGACAATCATTCCAAAATCCAACTGGAAAATTCCCCTTATCTATCTTTTGAGGGAACCAGAGTGATGCAAAATTCCAAAGTCCAAGACCAAAATCTCTGCATTATTACTTGTTACAGAAAGATATTACGCAAGTCAAGCCTGCATCCTTGTATCTTATTTGATCTGGATGGAGCCATTTATTGTATAATAGCATACATTCTAATTGACTGTATTTTGGAGTTCTTCCCCTTTGTGTTTCTGGTCACAGATGTGCTTGGTTTGTTTAGGCCATCAGCCCGATGCATACTAACTGACGGTGTTCTCGTGGAGTGTCTTACCGACGCTGACAGCTGCGATGACAGGGGCGGTGATGATGGACAGGGCCACCGCCCCGGTGATGGCCAGGTTCCTCCTGTGGCGGGATGTCTTCTTCAGCTCATAGTGGGCGTGGATCTGCAGCAGAGGAGAGGGACAAAGAGATCACATCACAAGCTCAACACGGGTGGGGAGGAGGTTAAAGGTGGGCATTGTTTTGGTGTAAGAAATAAGATAACAAAGAAAAAATACAGAAAGCTTTTCCAGGAGGGATAGATTATAAATCCTCTTTCATCTGTATTTGACTACCTTTTCAAAGCTTCTAGTCCTGTTCAGTCAGTAATTCTCTGACTGAGACGACCACAGCTCACTCCTCGCAGGTTTCAACATGTAGTAAACACAGTTAGTGTGGAGCTGCGGTCTGAGGCTCCAGGTATTTTAATGAGCTAACCACTTCCAACTCGTCACTCTCGATACTCATTCACACCAACTCAATTCCGGTGCAAGCTCCGTGCTAGAGCTTTTCAGGTTCAGAACCTGTTCTTCGGTTTAGCTCTGGCTCTTTTCACACCGCCCAGAGTCCGACTGGTAATGCGTCATTGCGTCATCGTTTGCGTCATGACGTAACCGTTTGCGTGCCTGCTTCATAAAGCCAAACCACGCGGATGAAATCAGTTGCATTCATTTCTTATGGCTCTATCTGCAGCTTTTCCGGAGTCATTTCTGTGGTTTAGACTATATTTTTATAAAAAAGTGTACTCGTGTCAATAAAGGTTTTTTTAAAACACAACTGCTTCCGAGGTGGGTCTTATTTCTTAAGGTGGACTGAACCATGAGTGTGGAGTAACGTTGTATCTTTAATTTAAATGAACTGTAACCTTCACTCAGGTATGTAACAGCTGTTCTCAAATGAACACATGAAGTAAAGTTTAATATTTATAGTTTTATAGATTTATAATGAGTTATAATGAGAGGTTATATATACAGTCTATGGCTGAAACTCTGAAACTCTTGTTAAGTTTCTCCATCGTTGTGTACAAACTGGATAAAACGCGGGAGTTGATCCCGCCCCTGCCCCCGCCTCGACGTAAGCGTGACGTATGCAGTGCTTTTGCTCTGGCCGGACAATCTTTTTTTGGTGCTTGAAATGAACCGGAGTCCGGAGCTAAGAGGCTGTTCCGCTGCGGTGTGAACAGGAAAACCTGGTGCTTTTCAAGCTCCAGCTCCGAACCGGCCCTGAAACACCGTTGGTGTGAATGAGGTGCCAGATACTTCGAAAGGCTTAAAGAGAGATGTGCAGTTTCAATGTTCTCCACTAGAGGGCGCTACAGGGCTTGATGTGCAGCCAATGACTCATCTCATTTCCTTCCAACATTGTGCAGAAACTATTTATGTGTTTCACCACACTGCGGTTTCCTCTTCTGGTTTCTGTAGATGAAGATAAATAATAAGTGAACAGACCATCAAAATTAAAGAGTGTTGCTTATTGTGAAAGACGTCTTAGTTAGCTGCAAATAGAGAAAACGCTTGTTATAGCCAAAGTGCAAGACTTACACTATGAGCATATCATTATATTTTCGCTTCATAATTAGATCCTGTGTCCCCTCATCGTCTCCCATTTCTATTTCCTTTTCAATTTCTATTTTGGATTTTTTTGGAAGGGAGTCTTGAAATGCAAAATTCTGTTGTCAAAACAACACTTATAAAAATGAAATAATGCAGAATATCCTACAAAAATAAAGGCATGAAAACTTAAAATCAATAAAGTTAGCTACTGTATGTGTAAAACCTGTCTTTCGGGCTACTTTAAACAAGTTAGATATGATCTGCATTCATTTGAATTCATCAAAAAATACCAAACACCATAGGAAAAGGGAAATAATCAACAGTAAAGATGTTTAAAAAAACACAAGAACAAACGGAGAAAAACCAAGAAACAGCAAGAGGTCTTCTTAGTGAAATAACTGGTTTCTCTGAAAATACATAGGTACTTTAGCCTTTTAACATTTTATTTTTCCTCCTCTCTTGAATCTAAATAACAAACTTAATAACTTATAATCCTAGACACTACCATTCAAAGGTGAAAACCCTGTGCTCTTGACTTCAAGTGTATTACCCTCCTCCAGTAGTTGTTGCCTGCTCTCTGAGGGCTTCTCACCTTGCGGCCGACGTACACAGGAATGCCGATGACCATGGCGGGGACAGCGATGCCTGCGATGAGCGTGATGCCCACCGGAGCTCCGATCAGGGTCCCCAGCTGCCACAGGATCTTCTTCTTCCTGCTCCAAGGCTTCTTCCCCCAGAATGTGCAGCCAGATGGACTGATGGAGCAAGTTCAACCAGGAAGACCGTCTTTATATCTGTCATTCACATATTTCCCTCTTACTACGCTCATCCCTCTAATCAGCGATAGGGGGCTTTCACTCCCCAGCTAAACCACTTTTAAATCACTTTTGTCTCTATTCCCACAAGCCGATCCTAGAACATTGTCAAACATTTCAAATCTGCTCTATCCCCTGCTGACAGCTGTCATTGAAGGTGACTCAACGCAGCCCTCCTCCACCCCTTCACCTCCAATTTCTCCGAAACCAGGGTTCACCTCCATCAATCCCTTCATGCCTTCACCAGCACCAGAGTCTAGACCCCAGGGGGGGGTTTATCGGCTTGGTATTCCCCTCCCGGATGATACTCCCGCACAACGGGGTCTAATCTAATCTAATTTTTCAATGGGAGCTTTTCTGAAAGTAAGGTGTTGCAGTGTGGGACCCCAGAGGGAAGTTCACTTGGGCCTTTGCTATATTCAATATTCACAAATGACCTTCCTTACGTATTAAATAAGTCCAGTATAATAATGTATGCTGATGATTCTACAATGTACAGTACAGCATCAACATGCAGTGAGTTAAACAATCTACTTAGAGATTAAAGCCATAGCAGACTGGGTCAACAATAACAAACTGGTATTCAACATTGCAAAAACAAAAGCAATGGTGTTCGGATCCAGGCAGATGTTAAGCAGCAATCCTCAATTAAGCCTGACACTGGCTGTTCAGCCAGTGGAACAGGTAAACGAGAATAAGTTTCTTGGCATTGTTCTTGATTCTGGTTTAAAGTGGACAAAGTAAATTGACAGTATCGTAACTAAAATGGGAAGGAGCATAGCTGTGACGAGAACATGTACAAAGTATGTAACACTAACCACTTTGAAACAAGTCATCCAGTCTCTGGTTTTGTCACATATTGAGTACTGTCCGGTCATATGGTCATCCGCAGCAAAAACACATATACAGAAATAGGCTGCCAGAGTAGCTCTCCACTTTTCGAAGCGCACTCATATTGGAGTTATGCAAAGAAATCTATCATGGCTTCCGGTTGAGAAATTTCTGCTTACCCAAAAGCTAATGGGGATCCTAAATAAACATAAACATAATCGCCAAACATTACATTCATACGTGTATTCTCGGCGATAAATATCAATTCTTACATTAACACATGTCTCTCCTGATTGAAATGGAAACATGAAGCGGTTAAGGTTTTATTTATATAAGATCTTAAGAAATCTAACCAAAAGCTGAAATAAAAAGTGCACTGAGAGAGCTTGGTACCTGAGGTAGTGCAGGTCGGAGATCTCCTTCATGCAGAGCCAGCAGAACTCACAGCCGCAGACGGCGCAGGTCATGTGGTTGCAGCTGCCGTCGTTCATCTTGATGATGTAGGCGCCGCAGCGAGGGCACGGCTTGATGTCATCAGCTGGGGACACAAGACGTGTTTCTTTATTAGTCAGATGTAGGTTAACACAGGGTCAACTATTCGATGAAATATAAAGGACAAGAGTACAGGTCAATTCAGCAATAAAACAGGCTAGTCACAATAAGAGCGCTATATTGTAAAATAAGATAGAAATAACAATCAAATATAATATATGATGGAATGATATGCATACCTTTTCTTTATACTAAAAAACAAGACACAACAAGATAACTACGAGGGTATTTAGCAGCCCTTGGCCAATTCTATCCGTGATTTAGATCTCTTCCCAAATGTTAAAGGTTTTTCTGAGGCCCATGCTACACTCATCCATCAAATGTCTTGAAAATCGGGTAAGCAGTATTTCCTTAGTCCTGCAGATGAAAAAACTAACAAAACCTAATATATATTAGTGCTTCTTAGTAAGGCTAGCTGTTTCCCCGGTTCCAGTCTGCTATGCTAAGCTAAGCTAACTGAAGCTTCATATATTTTGGGCAGAGATGAGAGCGTTGTAATTCATCTAACTTATAGCAAAAAAGTGAATAAATGTATTACCATTGCAGTTCTTGACCTAGTTAAGGCCCCCCCCCCCTACTCACTCCTGATTTTAAATATTTCTGCGTTTTATGACATTTTGAGTGATCACTAATGACTCTTAGAGACATTTTGGTTTTCAATCACTTCAACAAAATTAGAAAGTATATCATTAAATCCCTCAGGTAACCACACTTTTTTTTTTGGAGGAACACACATTTCTGCTTTTTGGTTCATAAGATTTAAAACTCCCAAAAACTGTCCTTGAATGCAGAAGAGTCACATTTTAAATTTAAGAAAAATTAATTCTCTATAATGGTCCCATCTAATTAGTATTTTCTCCAACTGTTTTGGCAACGACACCAAACCTCATTAGAGAAATGGATCAGACAATTACAGTGGTGTGTCCTCTAATGCATTTTAAAGGAAAGACTAAAAGCTAAACAATAAGTGAGTGAGTGAGTGAGTGAGTGAGTGAGTGAGTGAGTGAGTGAGTGAGTGTGTGTGTGTGTGCGTGTGTTTGTGTCTTTAATTCCGCTTTGATGTGAGTGTGAGTGTGAGTGTGAGAGTGAGAGAGAGAGAGAGAGATAGTTGTTATTGTTTACTATTCTGCTGACACATTCTCTTGTCCTCACTTTTTTCTTCTATCTTTCTGTCTCCTCACATCTGTCTTTATCCATCTTACAGCAGCAAATCAGCCGGTATGAAAAGACTGAAAGACTGACAGACAGATAGACAGGAAGACAGGGAGACAGGGAGCGGCCTGGATTGTTTTGTGAGTCAGTTTTGGTTTCTGAATTTTCGTCAGTTCTTCTGATTATTGGCACAGAGAGCCAGACTGGAAGTGGTGAATTAAGAGGAAACAGGGAGAGGAGATTGACTGAGGACAGCTGGAGGGATTTAGTTAATGGATTTTAATCAAAGCGGAATTAAAGACACACACACACACACACACACACACACACACACACACACACACACACACACACACACACACACACACACACACACACACACACACACACACACACACACACACGATGTGTGTGATGTTTGTACTCTCTAGCTACGAGTAAGAGGAAAACATTGATAGCACCTTCATGTCTGCACTGTAAACATGAAGCTAGAGCCAGGAGACAGTTAGCTTAGCTTAGCATAAAGACTGGTAAAAGATGGGAACAGCTAGACTGGGTCTGTCCAAATTGAACAAAATCTGTCTATGGCTCACTTATCAACATATTTGTTTAATTAATATAAACAGGACAATATTCTTAAACAGAACCAGACTAGCTTTCTCCCTCTGGTTTGAGTCATTGCTAATCTAAGCTAAACTAGCCATCGGCTGTAGTTTACCATGGTGAAAGAAGCACAATTTTACTTACATTTAAGTACCTAAAATTCATTAAATGTACTTGAGTAGAAGTACAAAAGTATTGGCATCAAAATATCATAAGTTATAAAAACTCATAATGCAGAATGGTCAATTTCAGAATATATAATTGTATTGTCTTATAATTATTGAAGCATCAATTTGTTTATCACTTCACACAACTGGTAAATGTGAGTTCAGCTATTATTTATACTGCTGGGTAGAATCATCTATAAATTGATTCATCTATTTTAACCAATGTTTTATTATATTTAGTTTCTTCGGAATCTTGCCAATACACAGCGCTTGATATAAATAGCAGGGAGTTGGTACAACAGAGCCAGACAAGTTTGACTCAGCTCTCTGACAGACTGACATGTGATAAACACTGACAGACAGAGAGGCAGAGTGCTCTCAGAGGTGTGAAAAATATCTTCAGGACGGATATGCTGGGGGAGAAGAGTTTATCTGACGCATCCACACACAATCTGCACAATGAGAGAGTGTGGTTACTTTGACCCTGAGAGGTATGAATGTGTGTTTTTCAGGTGCTTACCGGGGCCCTGCTCCTGTGTGTAGCTGGGCGAGTGGTTGCTGTGTGTGTGCAGGGACTGCGCCCTCTGCTGGCGGGCAGAGTCGCAGGTCTGGTTGGGGTGCCAGGCCTGCTTGCAGTGGTAGCAGAACTCGGCTCCGCATCCCTCTCTGCGACACACCAGCCGGGGACAGCTGGCACAGCCTGAGGCGATGATTGCAAACCTGAGAGAGAGCGGCCAAGAGAGGGGTGCTTAATTATGTGGAAACTTTTGAAGTTTTATAAACATTAATTTATTAATCTAGAAAAGAGTCCGCCGATTTGTCTATGAGGAAAATAATAGTTACTTGCAGCCCTAATTGACATAAAATCAACAAACTGTTAACAATGTTGTTTCAAGGTATAAATCCAAGATAACAATTGCATTTATAACGGCAACATTTCAGACTGAATTATTATTTTAGTGTCAGTAGACGACCTATTGTCCTGTGAACCTTGACATACACATTTGCAAAATTGACTAATGCAAAGCGGCCAGAGGCAGTGGAGACCTTGAGACTCAGAATGGATTAAGATAATTGATATGACTTTTCTCTGCCAGAGAATAAAAGACTCCATAAAACAGACGCAGCATGGGTTGTAGTCACTTATGAGAAAGGGGTCAACGTGCTAATAGACAATGTCTGTACCAAATTCATGGCAATACATTAAAGGACTGTCGAGACACTTAAAAAACACAAATGTCGACAAAAGAGGAAAACTCTGTAAGAATAATTTTCTGGGTTTCATTAATAACTTTAGCAAATGTCATGATGCTGTCACATTAGCCATTAGAACAAAATAAGATGATATTATTTATTATGTTTTGTTTCTGTCCCCAATCAACCTCCAAACTCATATTAAGTTTGAAACATTTTCCAAACCTTATCCCTTTTGTACGTATACTTTTTGGGACCATATGATGCTGACAATGAGAGTAAAATATTCCAACTTAAGCCACTGTGTTTGGCCATACATTACATAACAGAGATGTAACTTTAGAAATGCAGCAAACAAACAAAAACAAGGATAAAGAACATCACTCTATCCAGTAAGAGCACAATACAGCGCCTGAAAGCTCTCCACAGGCTGAGAGAAGAGACAAGATTTGATCAATGCAGTAATCACTTGGTAACAACATTGAGAGGAGGAGAAAGAGATGGGATGAGCTCAGCCAATGGATTTCACACGGTTCAATACTGAGAAAGGAGACAGAGAAGGGTAAATACAGCAGTGATGAAGCTATTGTAAGAGCCCAGACGAAGGTTAGGTTATGAGACAAGACATTACAAAGCTGCAACCAGCAGGTCATTTTTGTTCAATTTTAAATTAAATCAAGAGAAATCTGTTACAGATGTAGTATTTATTCTGGAAAGTGCTATGAGTCATGAGACAATAGCGGAAATGTTTAGAAATGTCTCAAAATTAAGAAATCCCCTAAACTAACCACTTGTTCCTCGGCCTGTGGTCAACCGTTCCACAAACATTAGGGCTGAAACCAACAAATATGTCTGTTCTGGATTCATTTGTTGGTTGTCTTCTGGATTTAAGAATTCACTGTTTGTAATATGTTAGATAATATGGAAAAAAGACAATCCTAGTTTTTAAGTGAAATATCCTGCCAACAATTTGCCAATAAAAAAGTGGAAGACTAATCTAGCTTTCTCTGTGGAGGTAAAAACTTCCTTGAAAATACATAAGTGGCGGTTTTAGACCAATTGGGGGGGGGGGGGGCGATGCTGGAACCAATTATTTTATGAGAGGGCCACATTTAAAGGGGGACAAAAGAGACAGTTTTCAAAATGTCATAAAGCACAAAAAAACATTAAATACCAGGATGGGTGTTTGTTTTAGTAACATGATCTGTGTCAATGACCTAGTTACAATTCTTTTAAAACTACATTTTTCAAAACAAAACTTATTCCTATTGAATTCGAAAAATCATAATAAATTCTCCTCCAAAAGGGGGCCCCCCTCCAAAAGGAGAATTCACCCACAGGGGGGGTCAAAGTTCAGAGTTACATGGGCACTGGCCCCTCTTGGCCCCTTCTAGAACCGCCCCTGGGAATACATGTTCTCATTTAAAAGTATACCAGACCAACCATCATTTTGTACTAAAATTAGGCCGGCAAATAGGCGTAACCAAGCAAAAAGGGGTAACCAAGCAAAAAGGTTGGCATTTTAGAAAAGTATGGAGAAAAAGGCAATCACAAAGAGTGAGGGAGACTGAGATAAAAGTTATCAATCACTGCAGAAATCACAAAGGAGGACAGTCATCAAATATTGTTACCAAGCTAAACGGAAGAGAACATGTCGTAAAGCAGGGGTGTCAAACTCAAGGCCCGGGGGCAAAATCCGGCCCGTGACCTAATTTTATGTGGCCCGCAAGAGCTTGCAAAGAATATTATTACAATACAATTGGTGTAATTGTTGAATATTTACTTTCAATTATTTGACCTAGACTTCTGCTTTCAGGCGTAGTTATTTAGGAAGATATTACCAGAACTGATAATAATCCAATGCAGGGCCAACAATGTAATATAATACATTATTTAATATATATTATATATTTACATATGTATATTTACCATAATGCTGATGTGGCCCGGGATGAAATTGAGTTTGATACCCCTGTGTAAAGCATGTAACATTTCTGCCTCTTTGTATACCCGGACAAACAAAGACTACGTTAGTCGAGTGCTCAAGTTATAGTTTTAAAAAGGAGGAGGAGTGTGGAAGAAATGATAACATGACAAACTTATAATGGTTTTGGTACGCCTCGAACAAGCCGGCCCCAACATGCCGCTCATTAGCAGCTGCTCAAACACTGACAGGCCTGTTCCCAGGAAGAATACATTAATGGATTATCAGAGGAGACGAGCGTTTACTTCTCGAGACAAGACCAGACAAGAGCTAGCATTCCTGCAGAGACAAATGGGCGAGGATATACACTAGACATTTCTGTCTCAAAAATCTGCATAAGTAGCTTCTGTACTGATGAAATAAACGGTCCACTCAGCAGTGGTGTAAAGTAATTAAGTACATTTACTCACGTGCTGTACTAAAGAACACTTTTGAGGGACTTGTACTTTATTTGAGTATTTCAAATGTTTGCTTAAATCAGACTTTAGTTATACGTGGATTAAGTTCACAAGCTAACCCGCAATATACAAAGACATTAAAACTAGCTGCACCTTTACCAGCTTTGATAACACTTCAATGCATCAATAACAACACTATATATTTTAATATATACAATATATATTATTCTGAAATGGACCAATCTGCATAACAATACTTTTAATGTTGTTACTTTAAGCATATTTAGATGCTTATACTTTCAAACCTTTACTCCAGTAACATTTGCAATTCAGAACTTTTACTTGTAACAGAGTATTCCTACACTCTTGTACTTCTACTTTAAGTACAAGACCTGAGTACTTGTCCCACCTCTGCCACACAGGCATCAGAAGGTCAAATGTTCACCTAACTGACTCAATGCTGAAATAGCTGTATAAAGCTTGGATTCAACAGAGGGAAACGAAAAACACAGAGATGCCAAGTTTGCATTTTTTTATCTGCAACATAAGCGCTTTGGTTCAAGCTGGCAGTTGGAACAAGCTCTTCATAAGAAAGACAATTTCATAACCATTTTGTTTTGTTTTAAATTCCCCACCATTTGACAGCGCAATTTTCCTCAGCTGAAATCCAACTTGTTAACATGTATACTGCCTGTCTTTAAAATGTAAAACAGTGAGGTGAAACAGGAAAAGTAATGGGTACAGATACAAAAATATTGTACTGAGTATATACAAATTATGAACTCAAGTTGTTTGGATTTTCAAATATCTTTTAAACTAAAGGATGACTTATTTCTTTATACGTTTTGAACATTCTCCCACTTCTTAAGCTAAATAAACTCTTCAAAAGCCTCTGCTAGACAAGTTAATTGCCACAAAGCTGGAAACAGGGCTGTACATTTAGCATATCCTTAAAGGAGCCCTATTATGCTTTTTGGGTTTTCCCTTTCCTGTAGTGTGTTATGTAGGATTGTATGCATGTAAATGGTCTGCAAAGGCTAAAATCCCAAAGTTCCCTCCAGAGGGAGAGTGCACTGATCCGCAGATCCCCACAGCCATAATGCCGCTAGCATGGGATAAAAACAACTGGAGGAAAGAGAAAGGTGTCTGCGTGTCTGTGCTCCACGTTTAGATAACTCAAGACTTGTTGAGGTACAAAGCAGCGGTTGCCACAACACCTTTCCCCCAGAAGAGCATCCTACCTCACAGCAATTTCACAATTGGTGGGTTTTGGGCTGAGAGCTTATCAGGCTGACATTTCCAGGATGGAAAAGGAACAAAGGGAGAGGTGTTGAGATATATGACAACAAAAGAGTGTAAGAGGATCGTGTTGGATCACCAGATGTTAATTTGGAATAAAACAAGGCAGATTCAGAGCAAAGAGGCGGGGAGGTTTATGAGGGCTGACATGCTGCGTGTTCCGAGGAAGCGTGCACAAACACTCCTGTCAGCGCTCAGCCTCACCAGGAGCCACCTGGGAATCCTGCTGAGCTTGTAAACGCAACGCTACAACACACATTCAGATGCTCAGTAATAGTCTGCTGTATGGAACTGAGCGGGCATCAGTGTGACTCACACAGAAACATGAAAAACACATGAAATGTCCGACGACATGCACGTGCACACAGAGTCCAGTGTGATCACGTATTGATCTGTTTAATTAAGCCCCAACTCCTGTTACCCCTGGCAACACTCCCTCTATGCCGCATCGATAGTCGCCATAGCAACTGACAGCCAGAGGAGACGGCACTCTTTGTTCTCGATGTCACGGGAAGAGACCTGATTGGCTGTATGAAACGAGCAGGGCGGAGGTGTTGTGACGGTCAAGTGGATAAGTTTGTGTAACATTGCCAATGTTTGGGGTAAAAAAACAGTTTATATTCATTCTATTTTAAGACTTTTTTTCGGAAAGTGCAGCAGCTTAAGAATACCTTCACAATTTGCTGTTATATATATATATACTGAATATATATATATATTGTTTATTATTACATTTTTTACAAACTAAAATGACACTTAAAGCAGTTACTTATGGAGGCCCTTTTGTGCTTTTTGGGGTTTCTCTTGCCTGTAGTGACATCACTATGTAATACTCGCACTTCTATTGGCTAGCGCTCCAACACATTGAATGCGATTTTGTTAATGTACTATATCATAAAAAAACAAATCATGTTCTAATTTTCAGAGTAAAATGTAACCTTTGGGAAAGCATGGATGTATTGATTGATTCTACACGTAGAGCAGAATACACCTTTTCATCAGTGTGCAGCAACTGCTTGTGTGTTGTGTTTGATCAATATATTCACTTACTCAACTTCTAACATTTATAAACATATATATTTGCCAATAACTCAAGTCAAACGTAGACTTAGCAATTAGAAAAGAGCAAATTAAAAGTTTGAGCTTTCATAAAATATGGTTGAATTTATTTAGTGTTTGTTTTCGCAAAAGATGTAGCATCTTGTGCTAGTTGTCTTTTTATGTGGATTGATTTGACTAAATGAGCCATGCTTTTAAAGTTAGGCTTCAACAATCATTAAGACATGTTTCTTGATGTCTGAAGAAAAGAAAAGCAGTCAGTAGCTTTAAGAAAGTATTTGAAGTATCTAAGTATTTTTTTGCGAATTTTATAATGTTTTGTTGACAAGAACTTACTGTTAAAGAAGCATACATAGATTTCATTGCAGAAGAAAAAACTGACAACCCAACATTAATCACTTATACTATTATATACAGCAGTGGCTTATTTACATATCCAGCAGACATGAAGATATATTAGCATACATTTAGAGTCATGTTTCATGAATCCTAATGGTACTATAATCACTCTGCTTTTAGCTCTTTTAGCAACAATCACTTATCAGCTGCTGAGAAATGTCTACTAGACTTTCTTTTTCCTTGTCAAGAAGCCAAACTGGTGAGATTAATAATGTTTTTTAACTATTTCATAATATGAAGAACAGCTGCGAGAAGTATGAAACGTCATAAACACTTGTATAAATATTCTACTGTATTTATTACAAGATACAAAAAAACAGCTCAGATTTACATAACAGGTGGCCAACACACCTACACACCCCCCCCCCACACACACACACACACACACACACACACACACACACAAACACACTTATTCTCAGCTTAAAACACTACATTAACAGTTGTATTGACAATATTCACACTTATTACGCTTTTTCTGTGAAAGCAACCTCGAGTGACCGACAGTCTGGAACTGGAGCTGGCAGGTGGGGTTTTTTGTGTGTGTATTTGTGTGTTAGTGTGTGTGTTTACAGAGCTGTGTCTCTGTCTCCAGCTGGGGCTGTTTGTGGTGAATAATCTGGATTTGCTTAACTTGGTTTAAAGAGGTGTTGAGTCACCGCTGGCATGAGATGGAGCATCGTAGCGGTAAATATGTAGGTCAGCAGTCAACCTCTAATACAATGATACTGCTGAAGCAAACACACACTTTTTTAACCAGATGATCATCTCCGCGCTGATTGCTTATCTCCGTCTACATAAGCTTGGGCCTGTTGCAATAACATCTTTAAAAAATATATATATTTCAATTAAAGCTGCAAGCAGAGATGATCGGGCCTTCGCACACCTTCAGACGTTGGGGGGTTTCCAGGATCCCTTTGGCCGCAGCATTGAATCACCATCGTCATGACCTGATCCGTATCAATAACCTGATTTGTTCTGATTATGTGCGCATAAAAAACACACACACACACACACACACACACACACACACACACACACACACACACACACACACACACACACACACACACACACACACACACACACAAAACTTGGCACACACGTTAACATTGATGAACTTAGTTAACTGATATGGTTGTTGATTTTTGGTGTGGCAAGGTTGTTCTATAGAACCCCCAAAAACCTTAATGAAGCAGAACCCCCGCTGTACGTGACACCAAGCCTGTTTAATATCTAACATCTAGGTGTCAGGTACAGCGAGGTTCATCATTGTTAACGTGTGTGCCAAGTTTCATACACATACATCGCTAAGCCCGAAAAATAAGTACTTCCTGTCTCATAGCAACAATGCAGTACCTCAGCAACAGCATTCTACGACACTGCACAAGCCTCATCGTCTGGCAAAGTGAAGGTCACAGTTAACTTTAGAAGCAAATCAGCAGACAATGAAAATAGAGATAGACAGAGCTACATTGTTTAAACTCAAGTAGAAAAGTTATACATTTATTGACTTAACTCAATAATGTGATTTAATAAAGTTTGATGCTAACATTAGCAACTTTATGCTACTGGTTTGCCACACTGAGTGAGGCTGTAGCAGGGCCCTGTGTTGAATCCAGAGAACATGTGTATTCATCCTATGAACTCAAGTTTCTACTAGTTCATTTGTTGTTCCTGCTGTAAAAATGACCATAGTCACGCTTAATGATTCTCAAAAGATGAACCCTTACTATTTAAGATATACCAATATATCTCTTAATCTAAAAGGCTAGTTGTCATGACAGTTTCTGAGAAAATCCATTCCCTCAGTGAGAATAAACTATTTTGATTTCAATTTCAGGAAAGAAAGCTAGCTTTACAGCATACAGACATGTTGAATGTTCCTGAGTGTATTTTTTATCAACATAAAATAAAATGAGATTAAGCTGTGAAAAGTATTGCCATATAATAAATACAATTGGTAAAGTAAAGGAAAAATCGTAATTATTTAAAAAAGATTTTTTTTTTTTCTAAAATGATAATCACTAGCAAAAAAGGGAACCAGCATGAACTCTCGTGACATTGAGACACAGAAAGTGAAAAGACCTGTCATTCCAGGAGATGGAGCTCTGCCGCTATGCTTTACAATCATTCCCTATTAACAATAATGTCTTAAATGATCGTAGTAGATCAAATGCTATTCATCAAAGTTATTCAGAATAGATCTGATTTTGATCTGAAACCAACTGGAGTCGTAGTAAAAGACTCAAATTGATGGCCATTTCTACGCAGTTCTCGAACCATGTGAGTATATTTTTTTATCTGTAGCATCATACTTACGAGACATTATACTGAACAAGAACAATACAAAACTTTTTTGAAAAAAATCTACTTAACTTAAACTAGCAAATTATCTCTAAAAACTAAATCAAACAAACTAAAATGTTGCCAAAAATAAAGAAATGAATGGAATGAAAACTAATTGAACATTCTAGACTATTATACTTGAACTGTAGAAAGAAGATGAAATATAAAACCTTTTGATGTAGGCGTATGTCACCCGGTCATGGAGATACAAACCGAAAATCCGAGACATGAAGCTACATACAGACAGATTTATTCAAAGATACCACACGGACGCTTTGGCCTCCCCCTGCGACAATACCTGTATTACTGTACAAAACCACAGCAGAACAAGAGCAGCCAATATCTGCGTTCCACCTTCCCACACACAGTAACACAAACACTATGAATCACTCTTGCTTTCTGTGATGAAACAAACGCCTCCAATTTGTTCCAGAAACCAAAGAGAGCTTCTCTACCTCCAAAACCTTCTGAATCTCCCCTCCTCCCACAGCCCTCTGACATTTCACATTCTACTTCCTCATCCCCTCTTTCTCTTTTTCTAACAGAGCTAGCTACTGCTAATCCAGACAGAAAAATATAGAAATGTATCATGACTCTTTAGCAATAACCCTCATCTGAAAGAATGAGGAAGTCAAAAACAAGATGTTAAAGCTGTTAAAACTAAATGACAAGACATTATTTCTCATTTATAAAACATATCCTGTCCCAGGTGACTAAACGCTTACGGCTTTCTCACTCGTTCTAGTTTATTTTCTGTTTCTTGTGGTTGCATATTTGTTTTTATTTATCTTACAAGGGGATTTCCTTTCAGGGAGACAGAGTTCATTTCCGTTCAGGAACAAACTTTTGAGTACATGAAAGTTAAATGTTCTAAAGCCTAATCTCTGATCAGATCTCTTGATAATATTATAAAAACTGGAAGATGGAAACCAACTAAGCAGAGAAACAAGACACACTTTCCACACAGTCCAATAAACTACTGATGAAGATATAAATTGATTAATCTTTCAGTCGAATTATCGAAAATAAATTGGTAAAGTATCCAATATCAAACATTCCTTGGTTTCAGCGTCTTAAATGTTAAAACAATTGCTGCTTTTCTCTGTTTATTGCTACTTGAATTTCTTTTTTTGGCTTTCGGACGATTGAAAACAAGCAATTTTAATATGTCAACCTGGACTTTGAGAGGTTGTAACAGTCCATTTTCACACTTTGATGTCAACCTTAAGGTCTACTGAAGTTTCATTACAAAAAAATATATGTTGCAATCCAGAAACAAAAACATGTAGCCTTGCAGCTGTTTGTTAAATATCATAAACTGAAATAAGCGCAGTGATGCCCGATGCCTACTGTAGGCCTCTTCAAACCCAGATGCAGCACATTGCATCCAATTTCAATTGAATCTTCTTGGCACTAGTTAATAGATGGATACCTTATAGTACATGGTGCGGAACATTTAAAACGTTATCAGGTGGTTTAAATTTGTTTCTCAATATTTTATTTTTGTATTGATGGTTTTATCAGTCTTCTTTGTAATTGCCATAACTTCAAAGCTGCTTCATTTTTGGTCTTTTCATATTCAGGAAAGGTTCCCTAATTTGGGTAATCTCTTGGTTAGGTGGTTTTTGCAATAAGGAAACATCTTTGGGGAATACCAATATGATTTTAGAAAGATTTCAGCAGAGAGGACATGATGGAGTGTTTCTTACCCGCAGTCAGGCGCCGGGCACCATCGGCAGTCCGGGTCAGAGGCCAGGCACCTCCGCAGCAAGAACTCCTCATACTTCTCCAGCAGGGCCGCGTCGTCCAAGATGTCCGCCACCTGCCGCGGAGACAGTCTCTCGGCACATTCAGGGCAGCTGAGCTGGACTCTGCTCTCTGTGATCTCAATGCGGAGGTACTGGCGCAGGCAACAGAGGCAGGAGCGGTGGCTGCAGCCCAGCAGCTCAGGCAGCTGCTCAGGGGGCTGGAGCACCAGGCACAGGGGGCACTCCAGGAGGCTGGCATCCCCAGAGGAAGGGGCTCCATACAGGGACGGCTGGCTGGAGGAGAGTGGCTCTGAGGCCGTGCCGGAGGCAGCGTCCTGGGGGGTCGTGGTGGCGGTGGTTGTTGTGGGAGTAGCAGAGGCTGCAGGGGGTGCTGAGCTCAAGGCAGAAGGGGGAAGCGGTTGTTGTGTGTGGTGATGTTGGTGGAGATGGGATAAAGGGGTGGCTGCTGCTCCTTTGGGGCCCCTGGCACCCCGTTTGCTTCGGAAGAGGCTGTGGAAGGAGATGCGGCTGTGGCGTTTGCCAGCCGCACGGCACTTAGGGTTAGGGATGCCGCTCACCAAGGAGTGAGGTAACTCGGAGTCCTTTTCTGATCCCATGATCCCAGAAGAGACACACAGGCCCGGATATTGCCCCCCGAGACACTTTAATGTCTTGTAGAGGGACACTTAGCTTCACAAAAACACACTCAGTCACACACACAAGGGAGGACTTGTCCCCTGTGAGAACCAAACTGGAATGCAAATTATATCTGAGTTCCTCTTAGAGAAACTTGGCCAGTCACCTCCTTTTCTTCCTTTTATGAGAAAAGAAAACGTTTCCCGTAAAGAGTAAAATAACAGTGACGTAAAAACTGAAAATGAAAGTTCAATGTGAAAAATAAATCCCCTTAAGTTCCCAATGTTTCTCTTAAACAGGAAAGGTTCTCAAAGAAGTTGCAATTCTTTCATCTCCCAGGCAGACGTCGAGGTGACACATTACTGCGATTATCAAAATGTTCATGTCTGTTCCGATTAATGACTCACCTTAAAAAATATACAGGGTAAAAAAAGAATGAAAAACGGAATCATCCACAGGTCAGTCTGAATGTTATGATTTATCCTCAGAATGGATTGAATTCTCCTCAACTGAGCCTCTACTCAGCTCGTCTTCCTCTGTTCTTGTTGAACGCCGGTCTCTCTCTGAATGCTGTTTTCTGTCAGGAAGAGGAGAGCAGGAAGTTAGCACAAAGAGCATGCTCAGTATGACACACACCTCGCTCCCTCCCTCTCTTTTTGTCTCAGCTTTGCTCTTCCTGGGTTTCAATTTGATCATTAACTATTGTGACCGTGAACTGATAACCCGTCTGGGCTGAAGCATTTAAATACACACACACAGATACACACAAGCTAATGCTACACTGTATGTGTTAAATAACCTTAATTAAAAAGGTTCAATTCAAATGAGAAGCATGTTATAGTGAAATACATGACATCATCGACCAGTCTCTCTGTATATATAAATAAATATATAATCTCCATCATGCTGAGTACCACAAGCTCTTCCTCCACTTCACACTGCGCTGCTAGTGCCGTTGCCATGGTGACGCTCACTATGAGCGAGGCAACAGAGACCCACTCTGTGACTGGCACACACACACACACACACACACACACACACACACACACACACACACACACACACACACACACACACACACACACACACACACACACACACATCTGTGTGTGTGTGTGTGTGTGTGTGTGTGTGTGTGTGTGTGTGTGTGTGTGTGTGTGTGTGTGTGTGTGTGTGTGTGTGTGTGTGTGTGTGTGTGCCAGTCACNGAAAAGTGCTATTTTTGCCATAAAGTGTAGCAATAGCATATTTAGGAATATAGTACATTTCAGAGATTCAGGTAGCCTATAGGTAGGTAGACCTTCTGTAAACTATAACACTTTGTTTTTTAAGTATAACACAATACTTTCAAGTACATTCAGAACATTGGAAACCCTGACTATTAGAAAACATCTCTCTGTTGCTTCAGAGGCCATAACAGACTTTGTTGATTTACCAACAGTTGATTTAAAAAATCTAATAAATTTCAGTCCAACTCTCTCAATAACCTTGCCAAACAAAAACAGTTCAACATAAAGTGCCAGTTGCACCAACCACGTAATAAATAGTTCAACATAAAATAAAATAAAAAAGTGCCAGTGATTGACCTCAATCCCTCCTATTCTTCCAATATCCTGATGAAAAATCAAATCTCTCTGTTGCATAGGCCACTGTTTGATCAACGCGAATTGGGTGTGGGTCCTTGTACTCTGAGTCGGGCTAACGTCCACGCTAGCTTCCACGCTAGCTGCTATACTTGAGGCATTGAGGATACTTGAGGCTTGATGTGCTGCGGTGATATGCGAATTCCTTTTTGCATAATTTGCAAACAACCGTGCTCTTATTGACGCTTCCATCCGTCCGTTTTTTAAAACAAAATGTCCCATTCACGGGGCCAACCAAAGCGGTCTCATCAGCTTCTTCGTTCACGTTTGACTATTGTTCACTGTGGTTTGTTGTTGTCTGAAGTAATGAACGTTAGTTGGTGCTCCAGTATAATCGGTACCCCCGAAACTCATCCAGTGAGAAACGTTCCGCGGTGCAAAAATAAGTGCGATTAAAATGCGTTAATTTTTTTAACGCGTTAATTTTTGTGTAATTAATTAATCTTAATTAACGCGTTAAAGTCCCGGCCCTAATGTTTACATTTATATTTAAGAAGTACAATATAAGACAAGCACAAGTTTCATTTGTGGGCCATATTCCATTATACCTTTTGAATTTGGGCTGATTCAAAATGGTCCGCGGGCCGTAGTTTGGACACCCTTGCTCTATACTAATGAGAATATAGTAAAGATTACTTTGTCTTTAACACAGTTGGCCTTTAATCTGCTGCTGCTCTTGATTAGCAAGGTTTTCTGTAGTTTTTTGAAAATTATCTTTAAACCAGAGAATTTAAAGGACATGTTGTTCAAATATGCCAATGTTTGAGCTCCTAATTGTTCACTGTCTGCAGACAATTGTGGCTAAACTCTGTTTTGCTTATCAGAACCTCCTGAGGAAGACACTGATTAATCTGCCTGCACACAGCAATAGTTTATCCGTTTTCTTCGGGGGTCATTTCTTATCTTGTACGATGGTGCTGTGAATCACAAGGACATACTGAGGACAAGTGGACAAAACAATAAGTCATGTCACAAACACTAGGTGATAACATGTTGAGCTGTGTCTTTAGCATACTTGTTTTTAAGTTATTCTGTTTATATTATACCCACCCCACATTTATGTTTGGATCTCTTTCACCTATTAATAACATCTATTGTATTATCCATATCGAGAATACCTTTCATGTGTAAAACCCAATTGTGTGGATGATGTGGCCAAATGCATGTTTTTGAGAAGTAATGTGTACATCTACTAAGCTCTTGGAGATTAGAAAATGCCATTACGCTTTGATTTAAATCCCTATCAGATGCACATTGGGACAAATATTTGAGCTCCATTTGAATGTAAATTCATTCTATAGTCAACCAATCGACCGTCTCCCTGCAGGGAGTAAAATAATGTAATAATAATGTGTAAGAATGTGTTTGTATTATGTAATGTAATGTAAGGGAACATCTATTGGGAAATAACAAAGTGAGGTTTTAACAAAAATGAATCCAAAGGAATGAGACGTTCACTAAATGTCAAATTATTTCAAACTTAATGAGAACATCAATACAATACATTAATGCTTACCAATAGCAGCATTCCCTAAAGGTTAGTATACCTTCAAAATCATATATAGCTATAAATATGTCTTAATACAATTATGGTTTCAGTTGGAATGTGAGTGATATTGGGTTTTAAAATGGGAATTTTCTGAAAAAAAGTTGTGTAGCTCGATTATAATAAATATAAAGGTTAAGAAAACGTCATCTTGTGTGCCTCTGCAGAGATATTCTGTGTACAGTGTGACTCAAAATATGTGACTGAAACAATATTTAAACAAAGCAAAGTATGGGATGCACAGTTTGTTGTTCATGGAGTCACAGCCCAGCTGACAGACACTTCACCTGATCTAACACAGAAATAACCCTTTAAAAAAAGGCCTTCAACTTCATTAACCGTCGAAAAATCCTTTGATTAACTTCAAATGGTCCACACCGTTGCCTTGAAGCAATTTTTCCAAAACATTAACCAAGAGAGCGTTATTCATCACCGTAGATTACTTACATACAGCCGCTTCTTTTCCATGGGACTGTGCTTTGAGCACATCAAGCACATTGGTAAACAATGCTTACACTTTCCCACAATGCACCTCTCCTCTCATAAATCGGTTCAGCATAACCCCCTGAAATATGCTATATAAAATGCAAGCAGTGAAGGACATTCTGAAGCAGGAAACATAGCATGTGAAAAGTTGCAAGTATGCACTGCTAACCCGTGTCGGTAATAATACATTGGATGGTGATAAATAGTGACCAGATTTATAGTGAGATGTAAAAGATAGATAACTAAACTTAATTTTAGCCTTGCCATTAATATTCATTTTGGACATTTAAACTTGTATTTATGCATTAAACATTTTTATTTAAATGTAAATGTAATGCATACAAAGTTAGTTAAATAACAAGAAGGAAATAAAAAGGTTTAACTACTTAGCTGAATTGCTTTGTTGTTGTCTTGAAGCATAAACTCTACTTTTGTGTAGTTTATAGCACCCACACAGAAACAACTCTGCTAGGCTATGCCAAATGTCCTACAATTAGCTATGGACCAGTTTCACCTGGGGATAGGACATCACTGAATTGTAATGAGTAGCTTTTCAGCATCTTTATTTTTCTTGCAAAATGCAAATTCAAGCTGGCTTCAAAGATTTCCTCTTCGAGGAAGAAAAAAAAAGATGTGGTCTTGGTTACCAAATATTTGGTTTGGCCAATCTCAAAAAGAGACAGCAGGTATTTGAAAAGTTGCTCCACATTATGATAAACCTGGTGTATGTAAGAGTAGTTTATCAATATTTCATGGGATCCATGAATACATTAGGTGTGATGCAACTTTGAGCCAGCCAGCAAAGAAATTATGCAATTTAACGCAGCTTTAAAATGTAGTTTCTATCAGGTTTACATCAGGGTTGCCATTTATAGGGTAGGACAGTTTGTCGGATAACCACACAAAAAGCTTTGCCTACTTAGATGAGCCAGTTAACTGTACATTATAGTAAAACAAAAGTCATTTAAACCTTTATTTTAGAAACTGGGTTGGGTGAACTTAAATGTATCATCTGCATCAAACAATAGGTAGTGGAAAATTGGAGACTGAAAAAAAAATCTGTCTGTTTTTCACACTAAAGAGAAGACAACTCAGCTTACATCAAACAAATAAAGGTCCACCAAACACCTGATCCAAGAATATACAAATCTTGAAACAATATTCTAGCAGTGCCTCCTATGTTCGCCACAAAATAAATATTATTATTTTATATTCTTTCAACTGTACTGTAATTTTTCTTTATGAGCCTCCATTGTTATCCTATTAATTACATATTTGTAAATTAAATGTACACGTTTTGCATAATACCGGGCTTGGCCATTTTGACTAACAGGTGGTTGCCGAAGCAGATCATTGCCTGGATCCAACTCAACTTTAGGCGGCAGTGGCTCGTCTGTAGGGACTTGGTCTTGGAACCAAAGGGTCGCCGGTTCACGTCCCAATCGAACACGAAAAAAATGGAGTGAGCTGGTTGCTGGAGAGGTGCCAGTTCACCTGCCGAGGCACCTAACCTCGAAACTGCTTCCTTGGCGCCGGGTACCTGGCAGCCTCTCTGCTCTGCCTTTCTCCTATCTGCATGTGGTTGTGTGTATGCATGTATATCCTCTCTTGTGTGTGTAATGTGTGTACACACAACAGTGGAGAAAGACATTTCCCTGTAAGGGGTTAATAAAGTATGTCTTCCTCTTTGCCCCTTTTTGGTTAGTCTCAAGTTTCGTTACTGCCTGCCATGGCGATGTCTATAGCTCTTCAAGGGTTCTTCAGAAAGCTATGGAGGACATTGATGTTTTATTATAAGGTCACACATTCCAGCTCACACTCCCACGCCTTGAACTGTTGTTGAGAACAGAGAAACTTCCCATTCACATACTTCAGGGAAGCTCAAACATCACAATGCAG